ACACTTCAAGGCTTCTCGGGACTCAATATCGCCGGTCTAAAACTTATAAACGCGTATGGCCCTTGCGAGGCATCTGTCGCCTGCACGATGGGAGAAATTCACTACAAGAGAAATGATCTTTATGGCAGTCACGATCCAATCACAGTTGGGCAAACGCTGCCAACTTATACGATCCACATCCTAGACGATCAATTGCAGCCGGTAGCCGCTGGATGGCCAGGCGAGATTTGCATTAGCGGGGGCGCCGTGTCATCATCTGGTTACTGGAATCGTGAAGACGAGACTTCTGCCCGTTTCCGCATCTTCAACGGCATCCGAATCTATCGGACTGGAGATTACGGCCGCATCCTGCCGAACGGTGACCTAGAGTACCGCGGGCGACTGAAAGGGGACTCCCAAGTCAAGTTGCGAGGAATGCGTCTGGAACTTGAGGAAATTTCCAGTGTGCTTGTCCAGGCGTCCCAGGGTGTTCTACGAGAGGCTGCAATTATCGTCAAGGGCCACCCTGAGCCATACCTCGTAGCATTTGTGGTCTTCTCCACCTCTGACTCTCCGGCCAGTGTTGGCTCTTTCCTCGATACATTGCGCAGTGGCCTTCCACTTCCCATATACGCCAAACCTACAGTTATCACGGCTATCGACCGCATCCCGCTGACCACCAGCGGCAAGGTTGATCGTACAGCCCTGGCGAGACTCGAGATCCATCAACAGCAAAGCGCATCGCCTACGTCCGGAGCGCTAAACATTATTGAGATGAAATTGAAAGAGTTATGGCAGGAACTTCTCCCAGCGACGGGGCTTCCCATCACACCGCAGTCGAACTTCTTCGACCTGGGAGGCAACTCGCTGCAGATCCTAAGGCTACAGGGTCGTATTCGAGCAATCACAAAGGTCAGCGTACCCGTGGTGCATCTCTTCCGATGCTCAACCCTGAGTGAGATGGCCCAGTTGATTGGAGCGGCCACAAGCGCGCACCGAGCATCATCCCCGCCTCCACCAGCGCCAGCACCTACCATTCTCATCGACTGGGAGGCCGAAACCGCCATTCCCAGCTCCTTTGACAACCCCATCACCATCCTAGATCCTCACATTCACCAACCATCCAATCCACCCCGAGAGGTCATCCTCACCGGTGCAACAGGCTTCTACGGCACCGCTCTTCTTAATCACCTTCTCTCAATACCCTCCATAACCCGCATCCACTGCCTCGCTATCCGTCCCACCGCAGACGGATCACCCCGACAGCTTGAGCACCTTACATCCCCTAAAGTCCATCTCTACAGCGGCGACCTCTCCCATCCAACCCTCGGCCTCAAAGAAGCCGAAATCACTCACCTCGCCTCCACTGTCGACTGCATCATCCACAACGGCGCCGATGTATCATTCCTGAAGCCGTACTCGGCGCTACGTGCTCCCAACGTCGACTCCACGAAATTCCTCTTCAATCTCGCCATTTCCCGCGGCATCCCCTTCCACTATATCTCCACTGCTAGTGTGACATCCTTATCTGGGAAGGACGAGTTCCTTGAGTCCTCGGTAGCCAGTTATTCCCCACCCATGGACGGATCACCTAGTGGACATACGGTGGGCTACACTGCTAGTAAATGGGCCAGCGAGGTATTTCTTGAGAAGGCTAGTAGAAGATACACTGATGTGCCGGTGTGCATCTATCGTCTTACAGCTATTACTGGAGACGGGAAAGTAGCCATCTCAGCGACGAGTGGCGGTGTTATTGAATCTGTGTTGGATCTGAGTCGGCGGATGAGAGCTATCCCTGAGACTGGGTCCTGGAGGGGTTATATTGATTTGATCGGGGTGGAGAAAGCGGCTGAAATGGTGATGAGGAAATTTGTTGGTGGTGATGATGCTAGTGGGGTTGAAGTACAATACTCGCATGTTTGTGGGGAGAAGCGGTTCAAAGCGAGTGATTTGAGGATGTTCTTGGAGAAAGAGGAGGGGGTAGAATTCCAACAGCTGGGATGGAATGAGTGGTTGGATATGGCAGCTGAGTATGGGATTGATGATGGGGTTGCTGCTTACTTGGAGGGATTCAAGAGTGATAGTGGTGGCTCTAGGGACTTGGTCTTTTTGCCGTTATTGGGGGGTGGATTGAGTGGTTGTTAGGAGTTTCCCTTGTAGCATCTTCATTTTCCCTATCATTTTATAAATATTTTGGGTATAATATTGATACTCATTGCATGGGCTAGGATCTCAGTTGAATACTCTAGGTCATAATCTTTAGATAGTAATATCGGTTCTTCTATGGTTGCCTGGTTTGAGTGCTTGTTATGGGTAGCTTTCGTTATATATAACGGCGCCCTAATCATGATTGTTACCGCTCAAGTACCAAGACGAGATCAATTCTGACCCAACGTAGCGTGAGTACTAGTTTGTAGTGTAGCGGGAAACTGTCGAGTATATCAGTGAGCGCAAAAAAAGACAAAATCAGAATGTCATTGTAGCTGAAGAAAAAGAAAGTTATCTCGAAAAGGAATTTCCATTGTGATAATTAGTGTTGTTGTTTACTGCAAAGAAAAACCAAAGAAGAAACTCCGATGCGGGGAATCGAACCCCGAGCTGCCGTGTGAAAGACGGCGATGTTAGCCGTTACACCACATCGGACTTGTTATGTGGGTCAAGCGGTTTAGTAGCATTATATTCTAAGATTACTAAATGATGTAAACAACTTCGCTTGGGGGAGGGAAGACAACTGATACATGTCGATTTGATTTTCTATTTGATGTGTCGCTTGTTCTTCTGACTGTTGGCAAAGAACTCTGTTCGTATGTAGTAAGTTTGGTTTGCCAATGCTGAGCAGAGGCATAACTGGTGAATTGTGATGATGCTGAAATGCAGATTCTTGGGAGACACCATGTCTGGGGAGTGAATAGACAGACTAGAACATCCAAATGAGACGAATGGTACTACCAACCCCATAATGACCCGCCCTCATTCTCATTATGCTCTCTCATCTTGAGTGTTACCTCCCACGTCCTACCACACTTATCTTTCAAATTCCATTGCGCGTTGGTAAGGCCCTGCGACTGAGCCGAGTCAATCAATTTCCTGACCAGACGCCCCTGATTCTTTTGGGAGTGCAAGAAGTCAAAATCTCCCCTGCTCGACGCTCGCTCGGCGGCACGTTTGAATGTATTCTCCACTTCCTGTCTAAGGTGGGCCGACGAATTATAGATGACCCTCATTGTCTCTGCCACTTGCATCGCGAACGAATTTGCTACTGCCTCGAGCCCTTCCATGCCTCCTGATATCCTCTCGAGTAGATCGGCCCTTTCGAGATGGATGGATGTTGGGCTTTCGGATTCTGCGATGTCGGGTTCTGGGAGAGGCATTACGACGTTGCTCTCTAAGCGGAGGACATGGTCAAGCTCAGTAGTGATGAATATGTCAAAGGCTTCGTCGTCGTAGGTACCGTCGTCCGCCTGATTGGTTATGTCAACTGTGCGGAAGAAAGCATGGGCAATAGGGACCATAATATGGCTTCTATCCTGCGCAGGAAGATTGTATAGGTAATTGGTCTCAAATCCTTCATTTGCAAATACCGTGGATTCCACGGTGCCGGGGATAATCTTTACGGATCTGCCGACGACATTGTTAATACCATGGAGGTTCAAGCAGCCGTTCATGTTCTCGATGATTCCGAGGATGGATCCAGTGCAGTCGTCATTCTCGTACACTATAACTAAATGTTGGTCGTCGTAGACATGATCAACCTTCACTAGTATTGACTTTGCATCAATAGTATTGAGTTTGCTGCACGCAGTAGCCCCTGCAAGCCGATGGAATCCAGCTTCAGCTTTTGTGCAGCGATTGCCTGTGTACTCAGTTAGACGGTACCCAAAAGTTGTAGCAACGAGGACCAAGAGAACCAGCAAATGAAGCATGTTGACGGAACGACCGGGAGAAGACAAGAGTGATGAATTAAGCATGGATGTGTAGGACATTCTGGGACCAGTCCCTTTCTCACGGAGACCAAGTTGAAGGTAGAGACCCGTCAACGCCGAATTCATATATGACATCGCCCAGTTAATTTATACCTCCGTGCCTGGTGGCCGTGGAGTCCCGCCCTACAAAATTCCCCTAAAGCTTAGTGCCAAATGCACTTGCGGGATGTTCCGTTCTTCCAGCAGAGGAAATGATATTCCTCGTCGGTGTTCTCCAAGTGTCAGCCTTATGAAGCGGTCCTAACCGAAAAGTACGCTTAGTTCTGACTGAGTTTTGCTTTAGTTATTGCCTGTCCTCATTCAAGTGAGCCTTCACATTTCCAGTTTGCTTGCCGACAAAGACCTAGTGTATGTTACAGATCATTTCATATGGTTCCAGCCGAAACCAAGAGAGCGTTCCAATTGGTACTACCGCTTGAAGTAAGTTGCAGAACCAAGAATCTGCAATATTCAAAGATCAAGGAAGAACTGGCGTGGTCGGGATTCCAGAAGCGGAAGGACCGAGACTAGCCCTCCAACTGCCCGATCGCAATTACTTCACCTTAGAACAGGGGAATTAAAGAATCATGACTGTTTCACCTAGAACTACTCCGATGCCGTGTGACCCAATATGTAACCTTTGGGAATCACAATACCTCTTTGATTGATAATTAGTAGGTTGTCCGTAAGACTCCTGTAAGCGGGCATTCTTTGTTCTCGTGCTTTCAAGCTGTCGGATCTGGTTGCCATAGGGACTTTTAAACTGCTTCTGCCCTAATATCCCTCGCCGCAAGTGTCATTCTATCGGTAGTATATTCATCATACCGTGCTGTCATCTGGATTCTATGGCAGGTACCTCATAGTGAGTCGTGCTACTAGTGATTAGGATGTTTGCATGAGCTTGTGCATTCTGTGTTACTACCAATCTTGACTGAGACCTAGCTGAAACATTGTTTACTCCAGACTCTTCTATAGGTAACATTACTTCTCAAATGACGCCACAAGTATAACATCGAACCAGACCCATGCGAGATCATCCTGCCTACCGGCATTGGCATGTTACAAACCCTCCCCCCATGCGAATGGATTAGTATAATAATGCCCGATATAGTTGTTGAGCATGTCCCAACCCGCAAACGCCAACGCGCCCGTAACAGGAGTCATGCGCGCCTCATCACGAACCCAGTTTGCGAGACCTTCCCGCGCCCAGAGGGTGTAGAAAGCGCTCAATAGACCGTCAACTATTATTGCACGGGCAGTGATGAAACCCAGCATTACAATGGCTTGGGACTCGATGGGAAGGCAAAGCGACAGATGATAATGTAAAACACTAATCAGGTAAGTCCATTGCTGGGATGGTGAAAACCGACCGTGGTCGTGAAAGACGAATCGATCGATGAGTGTTTCCTGAGGAGAGCTGCGCAGTTTTGAGATTATGAATCTGAGAAGCGCTGTTGCTATCCCATCTCGGTCTGTATGGTGGTTTGATTTGGGCTTTCTGGCTTTCTCAAAGCCCGCCTCTATGGAGGAGCCTGAAGAAGCAAGAATTTTATCTAGGAGGGAGCGATCGGATACGCTGAGGTAGCGGGAATCTGGGTCCGAGTTTGGGGACGCACTGCTGTTTCTCTAACAAAGGCGGTTTTGGCGTCTGGGTGATCTGTAAATGAAGTATAGAACCGTGGTGTCAAAGTCTCGATTTTCAGGACGGGTCTAGGGTGGGATGTGGGGGGAATAGGAGAGTTGAACGTAAGGCGATCGAAGTTTATCGATCTTGGGGGTATGTACTCAATGCACAATGGAAATGTACAATGAGCCGCGAGTTGAGACAGGTATTCTCGAAAGAATAATTCCAAAGATCTGCCACACATGTAAGACGTTAGAAACATATATGCAGAACACAGGGAGATCTGACTAACCTCTCAACAATAGTTTCCTCTCGTGGATTTGTCCCAGGGTGGACCTCAGGTCTCTGGAGATATTTCAGATTGCCACGAAAGCGGACCCGCAAAGCTTCCTTGACAATGCGAGGCGCAGACAATGCTCCAACATGTGTCCAACGAGCAATAAAACGAGCAATATCCCAACCACTAGCCATCAAGGGATTGACGGGATCACCCCAAGAGGCGAGACGACTTGTGACTTTCACCTGCCCATCTGGGTTGTTGGAGCTCAAGGTGGACTGGAGGGATGGCCCTCTGAGAATGTCCACAGTCTTTGCAAGCATGTATCCTCCAACCTTTTCGAAAGGAGAATCAAAAATTACTTTATCCCAATACCCTTTGTAGTATTTTCTCTTCGAAGCAGGGGAGAGAGAGCAGAGAGATACCGTCTCGCCGGTCCCCTTGGCCGAGGCTATAATCGTCGATGGAAGATGTGGCGTCTCATCAACAGGCATGCCGTCTTCAGTCAAGCGGAAAAAAATGTTTCTCTTTTCGTAAAAAGAGTTGTTAATCTCCATAATCATTGCAGTCAACTCTCGCGTTGGTGAATAGATGTACCAGTACCTGATTGCGCTTTTCTGCCACCATAAAACCGCGGGACGCTGATCATGTAAGCGTATGGGAATTCCTGAGGGTTCTCGCCCTGACAAACTTAGTTTTGAGCTCCAAAAAGTGGAGGAAGGACTCAAATAGTACTAGATTATGTAGGAAGATATGCAACTTCTCTTCAAGTGTTCGGTCACCACTCCCAGGTTCAAGATAGTAAGCCGGGTCGATTGTAAACCAGCATTTCTCCAGAATGCTCTCCGACGTGGGCTGATTGTCAATAGAGATGAGGTTTCCAATCCGACCGCGAAACCCCACTGGAATCCCTATCATGAAGTAGTCATACCAGTAGTTGTATCGTTCAATTGCAGGAAACCTGCGTGCATGAGACAGCTTGGCTGGAAACATAAGAGGCCTGCCTAGGAAATCTGGTCTCACGTGAGGGTTGTGTACAATCAAGTGCTGGCTCAATAAGGCGGCAATAACCAGTCTAATAAATATGAATAGAATGCTAGACACCGCGAGGAAGATTAACAAGCCTAAGATCTCTCGCAATCCAACATCTGTCATCTTCGACATCAAATGCGCTGTAACGAACACCAAGTACGCAAAATTCTTAAAAAGGCATGATGCCACAAAAGATACCGACGAGATGCTGATTGAAAAGATTGTGATGGTCACAAGGGTCCTGATGCTAACTTGGTATAAATGCCGGATGTACTTAAACCCCTCCCCTCAAAGCCACCTATAGATCACGAAACTGAATCATTTTACCAGCCTTAGCCCGCCTCCTGACTTCCAGAAACATCAACATGCATACAACGTCCAAAAAGAAAGTCGGAAGTTTTGCAGTCGGGTATGTCACTGCCTCGCAGCTGGCATATTCATGTCATTCGGCTGGCAGAAGGGTGAAGTAGTACCGCTACTGGGCAGTCGGAATGATTCGTCTCATCCCATTTGCTACTAGGGTATGACAGCTGCATCCACCTAACTAGGGACGTACGCACGTCGGAAACTCCGAACATGCGGATGGGTAAGCAACTTTGAACATTCATGGATGCAAATGGATCCATCTCCGAGAAGGTTGGGTATTTCAGTATGGTCTTTCAGCATGGTCAGAAATGCCATTCCTCTCCGATGGAGGGGGCTGCAAAACATCTCATTGACAATACGAAATGAGCGATCAGTAACTGTGAGCAGCTGAATTCATTGTACTCATATCAAAAACTAAGACCAGCAGAGATGTCCAAAATGGTGAGGGAGATGTCCTACCTCGTACCTATGTTGTCTGTTTGCGAATCTCGACTAGGTCATGTCAACCACAGTGCCCTACGCGGAACCTTGCGTGTTGATGCGGTATTACTTTACGGTTATTTCACAGGCGATCCATGAAAGCAACTGAGCATTGCGGATGACGAAAGGCACGTACTACGGACATCGATCTCGGATGTCCATAGTAACTGGCATATGATGGGAAATATGAAACATGCAGGGTGTCGGGCAACGCGCACAGCGTAAACGACATGCATCATGCAGTCCACTGATTCAGGACACATTATCGACAGGTATGGTGATATAGACCGAAACAGTTATGTGCCCTGTCAAAACATGCGGATTATAAAAGGAAAGTCCTTGCGAGTCGGGCCTATGCAGTCAGCATCTGGGCTCCGCGGAGGATGAAAGCCCCGACGCGACGGCATAGTATCCGAGATTGTACTTAAGTATTTGCCGAAGACGAAAACCCTTAGTGCGTGCTGCGTCGAAAAGAATAGAGTATGATTTGCGGTTGGAGTCATACACAGAGTGGATTGGTCTCACCCCACTGAGCTTATTCTGGTGGCAACAACGACGTTGATCTCCACTGGTAGATCATTAATCAAGAAGTCACAAATCAAAATTTACACTCGATTTGACAATTATCCAAGCCATTACAATAACAACTCGGTTGATAATGTACACAAGATTTCGACCGGATACTCCGTCCTAGTGGTGTCCCTTGCTTGGCATTTGTCCTATCAACAGCACGCACCCAATCTGTGTCATCGGAATATTTTCCCCTCAATCATGACCGCAACTCTGATACAGGAGTATATAATTGGCAGATGACGCGGAGATGAACCCATAGTCAATATATTGTTGTCTCCTTACGGAATAGTGTCATCGGGATGGTGTGTAGTGGAGCGAGGGAGCGTTTGTGCCGATCTACTTGGTGCCCGCAGCAGAGCCCGATCGTGGGTTACGATGGAGGCTGCATCGGAGATATGACCTTGTCGCTTCAGCTGCCCCGCCATGCTAACATAACTTCGGTAAAAAGTAAGCATTTCTGATTCACGATCGATATGTGGAAGTAACTGAATGGGGTAAGAGTGGGCGTAGATCAATAGTGCTTGGAAAGCGTCTTACCCACCCTCCACTGTTCGTGCCCTTGTCGACATCATACAGATAAGACATTATTCTAATCAATTTATCATATGGTATCAGTTTTGTAAATGGTACCTGAGTGGACAAACGAATTAACTTCAACTATCACGTTTTGGGGGCCAACTGCGGTGTGATGTCGTGGCGCGCTCAGCAGTGGTCCCAGCCAGCCCAACTTGGTGGGCCAGCTGTAAGCAATAAGATAGTAGATACGGCTCCAAGAAACTTCGAGTTATTCCAAAAGAAGAAGGCGTATTGCGAACAGTGATGAGCGGTGTTGTGCAGTTGCTGAGATAATCTTATAATTTTCCTATATAGATCAATGTTTGACTGCCAGTACCACCATGATTTCATAGAGCCAAATCCCCAAAGGCTTTGATGTACCATACCTCCCATAATCCTCTCATAGAAAGGTCCCAAGCCCTAAACCCGCTCAACTGGTCCTTTCTTACCCCTCCAGCAGAGGAAGATTCTCCTTACCATGGCTTCCAGTGCCTTTCGTTCTTCCCCCAAGGTCATCATTATCGGGGCTGGCTTTTCCGGTATGGCGATGGCATGCCAACTTAGACGAGAGTTAAAGTGCGATGACTTTGTTATATATGACCGAGACGCTGGATTTGGTGGAACGTGGCTAGCAAACAAATGTACTATCAAATATACGCTCGTTTTTTACCAGCCGAAAACGCGGTCGCTGACATGAGCTTCTCAGACCCAGGGTGTGGAGTTGATATCCCGGCCGCGTTCTACAGCCTCTCCTTTGCGCCCAACCCAAATTTCTCGAACTTCTTTCCGAAGCGGGACGAGGTTCTACAATACATCAACAATGTGGTATTAGAGTACGAGCTGTCCCGTCACCTGGTCGGAAGTACAGAATGGGTAGGGGCATCCTGGCAGGAAGACGACAAGACCTGGATGGTCAGGTTGAGGAGTACTACTACTGAACAGGAATATGCACAACGGTGTAACGTGTTGATATCAGCAGTTGGGGCACTGACAAATCCGAATTCGCTGAATATTCCCGGCATCGATCGCTTCCAGGGAGATATTATTCACACGGCCAGGTGGGATCAAAACGTGTCTCTGCGGGACAAAAATGTAATCGTGCTTGGAAATGGAGGTAAGCTTCCTTTCTATTTGTGATTGTAGATTGCTCAACTGACCCTGTCCAGCCTCAGCAACACAGCTAGTACCAGCCGTAGCAGAAGATGTTCGGTCAATCACTCAATTTATGAGGGTTAGTTCCCTATTTCTATACCCTTGTAGGGTGACTTCGCTAATATATGATGCAAACTCAGTCAAAACAATATTTCCTCCCAGGAGGGTGTAACACCACCATCAGCCCTTTCTGGCAGACTATATTCCGCTACGTACCCGGTGTGCTTCTCGCTGTCAGATTTCTAATCTTTCTATACCTCGAAACATCGACACCCCAGTTCAACCTGACCAAGACTGGGGCGAAGATGCGAAGAGAAACTGCCGAAATAAGCGAGCGTTACATCAAAGAAAACGCACCAGGTGAGCCGAGTCCTGAAAGCTGTCTGAGGCATCCTGACCCAAACTTGAAGAAAAGTACTGGCCACTCCTACTGGCCGACTATCAAGTCGGTTGCAAGGTACGTACCTCGAGTAACTACGCACTACATGACATCCAGACTGATGATATCCCTATACAGCGAAGGGTATTCGACCACGACGGCTACATCTCAACATTAAACCGAGATAATGTCCGCCTTACCGACGATGAGGTCATCGCTCTTAACGAACGCTCAGTATCAACCAATTCAGGAGCAACATACCCTGCAGATGTTATCATGTTAGCCAACGGCTTCTCTCTAACCCAATATGACACCGAGCTGTGCGGTCGCCATGGTCGCAGTCGACAAGAATATTGGAAGGAATCCGGGCACATCAAGGCTTACGAAAGTATCGGCATGTCTGAGTTCCCTAACTTCTTCTACATTTTGGGTCCCAATTCAGGTCGCGGACATACATCTGCAATTTTCTCTATAGAGAAGTAAGTCGTTCCTCCGGACCAATGCTCTGGCCTACCAGAAATGGGGAATGGAGAGCAAAGCTTGCTAACCGTGAAACAGCTACACCGACCTCATCATCCGCATCATTAAACCGATAATAGCCGGATCAGCTGTGTCCGTAGAACCCGATATGTCGAGCGAAAAGGCATACAACCAGCGGTTGCAGGGAGCGTTGAAAAACACAGTGTTTAACAACACATGCCGCAGTGTAAGGAACTCCTACCTCAACTGGTTGTCCATCGCTGTTGATTCCGCCACTCTCCCATTGCGTTTCCAAGCATTAGCTAATCATGATCTATGTAGTGGTTTATCGATCCTAAAACCGGATGTAACTGGATGATATACCCCTGGAGCTCCTTCTACATGTGGTGGACGACGCATGTTGCAGGTCTCGACGGGTGGGTCTATGAGGTGAGTGTGCTGATCTTATCAGAGTTAAGCATATGGGGTATCTAACGCAATACGCATGCATAGTATCCCCAGACGAAAAAGATGTCCCAGAGCCCGGCTTTTGCTCTGTGTCTGCGCACCGTACTACCCACCTTTGTTGTCTGTCTAATTGTGGGAGCGTATACCTATCTTAAGGATTCATGCGGTGCGTTCGTTGTGTGAAATTACGCTTGCCTTTCTGTGGACTTTTGTGATGCACAGTTAGCTCTGTTTTATATAGGGCTAGACCGTCTGAGAAGCGTTTTATGTTTGACTTTTACATCGACATTCTTCCATATCAACGCTATTAGATACTTATATAGAAAAAGGCTGATTTCTCAAAAGATACTGAAAGTGCAGTACCGAGATGTATAAGCCATGTGTTGCTGCCTTGGATCGCTTATGCAAGGTTTGGATCAGGTGGTCATGTAGCTGTACATGATTGGCGCCCTGTCTTACTACTTTCGTCAGTTTGCGTCTAAGCTAGCAGAATCCCCAAAAGAAAGAAAGAGGAAAGTATTTTAAAATAATTACCCTCCCTAGGACAACTCAGCAATGATTAACTTTCTGCATGTGTGTGAAGAACGAATGGTAAATACAGATTGGCCTGGCTAGAGGAACTGATAATCGGCATAAAGGGTCGTCTAATACAACCCAGAAGCTACTCTTCAATAAGATATTACCTACGAGCAGAATAAGTTTTTACGGACTATCTGCCGGTGTCCATCCGCCGTGGGGCTCCAGGATCCCATTGCCTGTACTCAATCAGACATCCTGCCACGATCATGCTTAAACACATCCCCATGCAGATGATACGCCTCTTCCTTCTTTCAAGGAATCGGATTTTCAGTCGACAACGAAGTCCCGATGGACTCAAGCAATTGAATACAACTCTTGCGATAGAACACGTATACCGCAGGGTTCCATAGGAAATCCAGACCCGCAAGCGAAAGGATTTCCGTGGAAAAGGGCGAGGGGGCCTATTGTGCCCTAGGTGGATGTGTAGCTTGATCAATTTATAAATAAGCAGATCATGGACTTAGACTTATTGCTGACTTGACTTACTCTATGTTGACGAAGGTGATCAGGCTTGGTGAGTCGAGGGATTATCTTCCTCCTGGGAGGAAAACAGACATTCATGCAGATCGGAAGATAATTGAGAACAGAGAACAAGTCGTGAGGTGACATGTACATGCTTGGTATTGTGACTATGTGGATGTTGTTGATAATCAACTGTGAACCTTTTGATCCCAGAGACTCTGCACAGTGATGTTACGAGCCCATGCCCCGTTGGTCGTGTCTTCCAGAACATTGAACTCAATCTCTTTCTTCTCCCCTGGTACTAAGACGAACGCGTTCTCCTCGAAGTATCCCACCACACCCTCTGGGTAGTCGAGCCACGTGTACAGTGAGACACCGGATGTAGCTTCCACCGTGACAGTTTTCTTGTTCGCATTGTATCCCAGCTTAAGTCCAGGGTCAACAATCTTCAAATCCTTTGGCCAGGAAAGCGTAGCGTGATTCTCATGAGTGAAGTTGGTGGCCTGGTCTGAGTTCGGAAGACGTCCGTGAGCCGAGAGCGAGAGCAGAAGAACGGCATCCTTGGTATCCGGCAAGCCCAAAGAAGAAACATTTGTGCCATAGACACGAGTGGTGTTGAGCCCTCCAACAGTAAAGGGAACTGATTTCGGCGTGCCCGCATTACCCTCAATAGGGCGACCTGACAGGTCCAACCAGGTCAAGTCCACAGTACCTGCTGCAGGGCTCCACAGGTCGGAAGTAACATAGACGTCCAGTGATTCTGTAGTATAGTTCCAGAAAGGTGAGACAATAACAGGCTGATAGATATCTCTCATAACGTGGTGTAGAACCTTCCATCTGCCCCCGTACTCAATGCCTGCCCATGACGGCGCTTGCCAGATGTCTTCGAGCTGCCAATACAGAGAGCCAAGCTGTCGCTCAGGCAAGCCACTTCCCCGACGGTAGAACTGGATCTGGCTCTTGTACATATCTGCCTGGAAGAGCTGGGTGGCGTGGCACCAGGCGCTAAAGTTGGAGATATGGTCGGATTTACTCGGGATCGGGTAGTAGCTTACCACGCCCATGGTCATTTCGCCCATGCCAGTGGCCGAGTTCGCGTAGTTGTCTGTCATGAGGCCGCCCGCGGGATCGTGGTGGTTGCGGAGCATTACCACACTGCTGTTGAAGTAAAGATCCTCAGTGTCAATGGCTTGCTGCCATGTCTGAAGGCTGGGCATGCTGTGGAAGCCGAATTCGTTCGCAAAGCGGCCTACCGGATAGGAACCGTAGTCAAAAGCCACACTAGTGTCGTAGTCATAGTGGTCGGTGTCGCCGTAGTATGAGCCGGAGGTAGTGTTGTCGTAACGTTCAGCCATAGGGACAGGAGCAGAAAGATCAATGTAGAGGTACCCCTCAGTTGTGCTGCTAGGGGAGTACGAGATGGAGCGAGTGTTCTCATAGACCAGAGGTAAGAAGAGACTGATGTACATCTTCTCGTACTCTCCAACATAGTAGGAATATGAAGATGGGGCTGCATCTTTGACACGTGGGAGCATCAAAGATTCGATTTCATTTCCGCCAGCCCATAGAGCTAGGGAGGGATGGTGGTTCACTCGTCGAACATTGTATACTATCTCAGCAGCAACGTTCTCGAGAAAGGCGTCGTCGGAGGGATATAAGGCGTCACTAAACTCGAACTCACTCCACAAGAGGATACCCTTTTCATCGGCCAGATCATAGATGTAGTCATGAAGGTATGCGCCGGAGGACCACACACGGAGCATATTCTGGTTTCCTATCACAACAGCATCAAACAGCCGTGACATCTTCTCCTCTGTGACACGAGTCCAGAAACTGTCTGGTGGGATGAGGTTGGATCCCTTTGCATAGAACTCGTGACCGTTAACTTCGAAGTGCCAGTTTGCTCCAGGAGCAATTCCTTGTGCGCGCTGTGTCTCGGTAATATTGCGCTGGTTGAGGGAAATGGTGCGGAAGCCCGTCCGTTTGGTTACATTGGCCAGAGTCTGGTTTCCGCTACTATTGACGGTAATGGACACGTTGTAGAGGTTCTGATCGCCGAGACCTTGCGGCCACCACAACTTTGGAGTGAGCCCATCGAGAACGGTGACACCGGTTATGGAGTTGCCAGCCACAGTGACATTGTTCAAAGTACGTGAAGTAAGGATCGTGCCAGAGCGAGCGTCGCGCACTTCAATCGACATGGTCGGTTTTGCAGGAAGTGGACCCAGAATGTCGATGCTAGCGTTGACAACCCAAGGTTGGCTTTGGTCTGGCGGGAGGTAGTTAATTTGGCCCTTTCTGTATATATCTAAGTCTGTGTTCAGGACATAAGCGCTTTGCTTATTGTCTAGCTGAACGATATATGCAGGTTTCCACGGGCCTGCGGGCGCAAATGCTGGACCCCAATCCCAACCAAAGTCGGACTGCTCTTTGCGCATAAACCACCGGTTTGGATATTCATAAGTGAGCTGGACATCATCAGGCCATTCTACAAACAATTAGCATGGCCTGGCTTTGCTGGTCTCCCACATTCAACTTACTTTGCGAATTAGGATCTTGGGCGATAGCATCGACAATGTTCGGCGCGCTCCCAAAGTTGATGCTCAGAACAGGATCTCCTTTACAGGATCCTAGAGCGGTGGAAACATCGAACGCATACTGGCGAAATTGATTGTCCGTTGACGCAATCTGCTGACCACAAAACGAGATGGTTGCAAAAGTGTCGAGTCCGTCGAATACCAGCCACGTTGAGTCGTAATCATCCAGGCTATTGAGTTTTAGTGTTGACGTACTTAATGCATAGAACTAATTGCTACTCACAGGCCTTTGATGGGTTGACTGGTATAAGTCCAGTTGGCGGCGGCGATCCAGCGAAGATTGAAATCATTTAATCCATGGTATCTGCAACAATATTTAGTGTCTCATTCGGGTTCATCGCAGATCAAATCACTTACGGTTCATCTATTGGGTAGTCAGCAGATGTATAATAGAGGGACTTGATTTCCAACAGTACTTACCAATTACTCCGGCCCTTAGTAGATCCAAGTGAACCTGCGATGGGAATTCAGCAGGAACTGTCCGATTCAAGGCTCGACTACTGAGAGACCATTGCACACTGCTCAAATCTCGAACATGTTGACCCAGTGCTACAGGTAGGGTTGGTGCTAGTAGTGCCGCTGCTAATCCGATGCCGTGGCGCATGGTGTGCAGCTGGAAGAAAGGCGATTTGCACTGGAAAAGCAAGACCTAAATCCCTACTCAGCGAGGGATCATTGCAGGGTATAAATGCGACGGCAGAAGCTGTGAACGAGTTCAGTCCTATGCGTGCGATCCTTGCAGTGACACACCGAAGCAATGACTGAGTCAGTGGAGCAGGAGTGTGGAACGCATAGACGGGGATAAGTCCGTGATGAAAAAGGAAAGAGGACGATCTTATGGCACCACGGCGACCGGGATCAGGCAACAGAAGCAGAGCAAATTATGTCTTACGCTATGAGGAAAAGACAGGGATTGAATCGGCTAATTGCAAGGCAAGATCAATTAAGCTAACGCCATGAGGCCGGCGAAACGTCGGCGAGGGTACTGATCTGCAGCAAATGAGGGGTAGAGAAATATTAGTAGCTAAACCGGAGTGACATAGATTGGTTACATCTTGGCTCAAGCTAGGGTTCTGGCTCAGGAACGAACGGAATGCCGCGGACAGCCGGGGAAGGGGAACGATGAGGAAAGCAGTTACCCAGCGAGTGCCAGATCAGTAACACCTTTCTTTTATTCCCTATTTCAATTCCATCTGAGACCTTACTGTGATGAGCTTTCGCGTTCCTTATTTACCAGATCTTAGATTGTCCGCTCAAGGGCCCGATGGCACAACCCGCAGGTTTGGGCCTGTTCGGACCATCTCCGCATCGGCCTTTGCTCATAGGCCCCACCCGGACAACCCAGGTTAGCTTACAGCAATGAAGATACGACTAAAGGTCCCACTGTGTCCGCTCCCTTGTTGAGGTTCACGATTTATGAAGAATGACAGCGTCAGAATCCATACAGTATCTGTTGAGGCGCGTGATTACTAGCAAAGCAACGAAACAGCGAAAGCAAGCAAACGAACGCGAAAAAATGCAGCAAAAGTGTGAGTTGAATTAGTA